TTTAGGGTGGGAGGCAGGGAAGTCAAGGTTACAGTGGAGGCTGTTCAACTGCCAGCACCCAGCTGAGGCCGATTCTCTGGGGCCTTCTGGGGCGCACATGGTACACTTGTAAATTAACAGAGGTATGGGCACCGTCACATACCTGTGCTGAGAATATTACGCACTAGAAGTCCTTTATAAATCTTTATAACTAGTTATACTCTTTATAAACAGAAGATTCCTTAGGGAGTGAACCTTACATCTTAGAGTGCTCTGTCTATGGTATGATATTTTATAAAAGGTTCTAGGATCTGTGTGGCCTTTGGTCTGATGTATTCTGTATCAAGTATCATGAATGTGATAAAACACCTCAAGGCATACTAGGAATGCCCCCGTGCTGTACAGTTTGGAGTTGGTTCTTAGTGCAGAAATTTACAGCATCTGACTCGTGGATGTATTTTTTTTTTTTCCAGAATGTGCTCTGCTGTCCATGGTTATACTCCTGCTGGGAAATCCTTGCTGTTTCAAGGAAAGAAGATTCCTGGATTCGACCAAGAGAAAGAACAGAGCCTGAGGTCGAGAGGCGGGTCCCAGCAATTTCCCGCTGCTCTGCGACCTTTAATGCACCAGAACTCAGGGCTGGTGTGTTTTTTCTCCCTTGTAACTATTGTTCTAAAAATATTCCTCAGGACCCTAATGATGTGCTTTAGAAACAGGCGGAACCTCCTATCAATGGGGAAAACCAGGCAGAAAAGACAGCAACTGGATGTTCCTAATAGAGCAGAATTGACGTAAATCAAATTAATGCTATTTTGTTTACTGTTTCCCCCTATAAAAATGCACTCTTACTCCCTGTGCTTACATCCCTGTGTTCGGGATGGTCCTGTCACACTGCCCAGGGCCTTCCACACTCCAATCACGTGGGAACCGCCTTCACATTTTTTTGCCATTATCCATGCAAAATCTAATGATTATTTATTTACTTATTGTCACTAAATTGATCCAATTTCTATTTTAAATAAATACACTGATACAACTTTTTAAACCTACTGAGTGATTCTATTTATTCTGTCAGGGCTCTAAACAGAAGCCTGTTCTCTCTTTAATGAAGGTTAACAGCAAGGCAGGGGGGTGTTAAGGACATGTCACAACCAATCGGAGACTTTCTCTTTGACAAAATTTGAGGGGCTGAAAGAGAAATAAACAGGAAGTGACTTTACACTGTTATACAATGCCATGTCTATTTTCTTTCCACAGTGACCTGGTGACCCCCTATCAAAGGCACCAGGCTGCACTGCAGGAGTCAGACTTCCTCCCTGGGAATGTGATAAAACACCTCAACCTGCCAACTACACGTGTCTCTTGCTTTGGAAAATACTGACAGAGTCCACAAAGTGTCAGAGAGGCAATGAATAACTCAGCCAGCAGTGTCATAGAAGAGAGAAAGGATCTTATTACACGAAGCCAGCATAACTTAGAATATATTTTCTGTTTTTACCATCTGATATCATCTAAGTAAGAGCGATGTCAGGGAGCACAAAGAACGCGAGACCTAGGGGTGGATGTCTTGAATTCTAATCTCCAGGTCTCTGCAAAGCACATACCCTGGTGAGGGTGTGAAGTGAGTAGCTTTGGTTTATCACTGACATCCCTTCAATACTGAGGCCATCTTCACATCCAGGGGTGTGCATTATTTTTGAAGATGCACATACTTCATTTAAAAAAATGTTTTTATTGGTTTTGGAGAGAGAGAGAGAAACATGGATGTGAAAGAGAAACAGCGATCCATTGCCTTCTATACACACCCTGACCGGGGACCAAACTCACAACCTGGGCATGTGCTCTGACCAGAAATCGAACTGGCGCTCAACCAACTGAGCAACACCGGCAGGGCCACATCTTCATGTTAAATAGCATCCCCCGCCCCAATATCCTTTCAAATTACGTTTGCAGTTGATTCAATAAATTGAATAATATTTGGACATCTTCCTCAAACTGCGGTTCCTTCCTGGGGTCAACAACTTCTATAATGACACCCTTTCATGAGAGCTAGAGTTCGGCCCCAAACTGCGGAATTCTTGTTGGGTTGTTTGACGTATGCTTTTCCAGTTTCAAGAAGCCGATTGGCTGCCCTCAAGTTTAGAAGAGAACTTCTGTGTCTCCATGAGCTTCCTTAGAAGATGGTCAGAGGAGCCCAACCTTTTGCAAGCTTATTGCTACAGCTTTTCAATTTGAGACTTCCCCATCTAAAGGCTTCGTTGCTTTTCATAAACTGTTTTTATTGTTGTTGCTGCATTATTTGGGTATTAATTTCCTGTTCTTTTGGTAACCTTATTAGTTTAAACTGAGGACATTTGCAATTCAACAGCTGCAGAAAGAGATTTTTTTGGAGTTTCTGTTATCTGATAAAACGTAGAAACTTCAGGGAAACGAGGCTGCCATAAATTCCCCCTTCTGAATGGCTTTTCCTCCCCTTTGGAAGGAGACCAAGAGTAAAATTACCATAAATCCCCTCCCTTGGGGAGTTTTATGGCTTAAAGAAGACAGAAAGACCACTCCTACCTGCATAAACAAGCATGATCACAAACTTGCTTCTCTCTCTTCTGTTCTTGTAGGAACCCATTTGTTCTTCTCCTCTCTCCCTGTTCCCCATTGAGTAAGGCATATAAGCCTTTAACCATTTATTAAGCTAACCCTTTTATAAGCTTGCACATCTATAAACGTTTTTCTTCTGTTACTGTCTTTTATCAGTTTAATCTGCAGGCCTCTAATTACTGGACATAAGAGGGTAGAGGAAAAGTTTTCCTCCCTGATGCTAAGCCACTGGAGGCTGCTAGTCAGTGACCGTCCTTTCTGTCTCTGTCTTTCTCTGTCCCCATGTCCAGCGCCTGCCTCCCATTCTCTCTCATATTCCTATTCACCTAAAGGAAAAGAATAAAATCATATTATCTAAACAAGACTTCAGCAGCTTGTTTTCTGTCCTTCCAATTAAGTTCATATTTCTTCATACACATTTTCATAATTATGGAAATTAATTGGGAATTCCAATTATGGGATAAATTATGGTGATGAGATCGATACAGCAACTGATTAACACCAGGTAAGACCTCTGCCCAAGTACAAGTGGATTTTTCTGCAAATTGACCTTATAGTCTATAGTACAGGCCAACCATAATACCTGGGGTGCAGAAATTTGATTTGAACACTGAATAATAACAGAAGTGTTCCTTGTTCATTATAGCAATCAAAAGAATAAAATTGTCATGCAGAAATCATGATTTTGAAAAAACCCCAAATGAATCCAAACTGTTTGGTTCCCACAACTGTACCTCACAGTCCACAATGTAAGTAATTTGCTAATTAAGACAGAATGACTATGAGCTTGTATTGGCCCAAAGTAGCATCTAGATGTTTTTGAAACTAATTTATTGGCAGCCGGCTTAAACCACACGTGCTTAGGACCTCATGCAGGGAGTACCTGGAACGGCTTAAGCACCTGTGTGTCTCAAAGTTCCTGTGCTATCCCCATCCACTCTGGCATTTGGAGGAATTTATCTGGAAAGTCTGTTCCTCAGTAGCCCTGACATCTGTCTTTTCTCATCTCGTATTTTCATTCCTGTTTTTCTTCTCTCAGCATTAGGAATGCTTCCTGCCATTCCAGCCCACAAGGAAACCAATCCACTGAGCGATCCTAACGACATTCACGGAAGGGAATTCTTCAGATGCACCCTTGGCACACAGCACCCCTCACTGTGTTATGGGAATCCATGTATGAGGAACAATTGTTTAGTCTGTAAACTGGCTATTCTGACAACGGGGCAATTTGGGCTTCTGTGGAAGCTTCACAAAGCTTTGCAGCACAAATCCTGGCAAGGACCACAATGAGAGCTGCGCTTAAAGCTGAGACACATGGTGCGCGGGACTGGAATACACAAAAGCAATCAAACGTGTCACGCTTACACTAGGAATGGTTATGAATTAGACATTAGGGTGGGGGAGGACTGGGAAGTCTTTAGTAGACATCCAAGCCTCATAGAAAACTGTGTCTAACGTAATAATGACCACATTGGTAATAGTATTGCAGCTAAACTTTAGTGAAGCTTGCTACATGTCTATAACTGCACTAAGTGCTTTAAATACATAATCTCAAATATAATTCTATGGGTTAGTCTTAGTATTTCCACTTGAGATATGGGGAAATTGAGGAATTAGTTTGGAATACCTGCCCCTGTATGACCTGCTGGTGAGGGCACTTATGCCACCTTGCCCCCCTCCTCATCCTATTCCTGTCTTTGGCACCATATGTTGCTTTGGAGACCCCTGAATGTTAGATTTAGAGATCACTTAGAGACCTCCAAATCTCCAAGCCTCTGGTGACAAAGCAGCGGCTTACAGAAGTGAGCTGAGTTGCCCAAGGTTAGTTTGGGTAGAGCGAGAAGGCTCCCCACCAGCCCCTGTTATGAGAACCTTGAATTTGCATCCAGTTAGTTTTGCAGGCAACAGCTACATCCTTTCATTTTAGCCCTGTGCATTTGAAGTACTTATCTTATCAACTACAGAAGTGGGACTCAATCCACTGAGCTTTGGAAGCCTAAACCTATCACTTAAAAAGCTAGAAGGCTATTCATATAAACTCAGTATTGGTGATGAAATCCCTGTATCGCTTTAAATTTTTCCTTCTGAGCTTAGAACTTGGACTAAGGGGCTGCAAATCAGAAAGTCACAAAGGCAAATGTGAGGGAGTGATTTGATCAGATCACTCAGCAGTCCCGTTGCAGCCAGCAGTGCAGGCATTGGCTTGTTCACTTCTCGCACTGAGCAAGAATGATGGTGGGAACTTGTGACACTTGATATGTGCTCAGCTCTGTGCTAAGAACTCATGTACCCACTCACACATTCCTTTGCTCTTAATCCTCCAACTACATTACCAGCGAGGTGCTGTTATTAACCCTATTTTACAGGCGAAGAAACTGAGGTTTAAAGAAATAAAGCAATCTGTCTAACGCTGCTTTAGACTTTACCTGAATCCAGGTGGTCTAAGTGCCAGGGGTCGGTGGCAGACGACATGGGTGAGAGGGTGAGCGGGGAGGCCCCGCAGTTGGACTCCACAAGCTCGCCCTGGATGTGGACGTGTGCCGAGGCGTTGGTTTGCCTCAAGGCCGCCTTGAGAGGGGCGATCTGGTTGAACTGAACTCTGGAGAGGCACCCAGTGAATCCTGGGGTGTTGTACTTGTGAATCTCTTGGTCAATCTTCCCTGTTTCTAAAAGAAAAAGAAAGAGAACATAAAAATCTTATTCTACTCACTGTCTTCCAGCTGTAGAACACACTCATCTTTGAATGCTTTGGTCTAAATCTTACTCTTAGATTTCAGAATGTTATATTCTTTTAGATGAAATACTAATGGCTTGATAAGGCTTAGGGCTAGAGACTTGACTTTAAAATAATCTTCGGTGTTACTAGAGAACCTGGTAGGGTGAGGAGAATGACTATTTGTTAAAATAAAATACATTCATAGTTACCTTCCAGATACTTGAGATGTTGCTGAAACTAACAACACTCACTTGGTTCTGATTGATTTTTCTTCCTGATGCTTCAATGACTCTCTTATGGATATTGAAATATTGAACAAGCCCCAGGTCCAGCTCTCCTGTACCTCTTCTATACCTCTTTCTTATTATTTAGAAATTGGGCATTCCCTTTCTTCAGAATTCAATCCCCTTAAAATCCTGAGGTTTAGCCTTGGCTTGGTAGCCCAGTTGGTTAGAGTGTTGTCCCCATGTGCCATGGTTACAGGTTCGATCCTTGGTTGAGGCACGTACAGGAATCAACTGGTGAGTGCATGAATGGGTGGAACCACAAATCAATCTCTCTCTCTCTCTCTCTCTCTCTCTCTCTCTCTCTCTCTCTCTCCCTTCCCCCTCTAAAACCAATCAATAAAAATATTTTTAAAATTCTGAGGTTTACAGAATCCCACCTGGAATCTGATGGATATTTGGAAGTCATGACACTTTCCCGACTCAATCTCAAACATACATAGGCATTTAAGAATCACCACCTCCTATCTGTTTTCACCTATGGTTGAGGCACCAGAACAAATGGCCACTCAGTGGTTGGAAACTGGGAACACCCCCGACTCCATCAGCTGCTTCTCAGACATAAATAGAGAGCTCTTTTCAGCCTGTCCAGCCCTGGAGTAGAGCTCCAGACAAAAGAATCCTGGGCTGGTAGCTCCTGCCGTCTGGTGGGACCTCAGTTCAGTTCAGTTCAATTCAATTCAATTAATCTGATCACAGGTATTGACTGTGAATTCAATTCATCTGATCACAGGTATTGACTGCAAGTAGTAGTAGCAGGAAGACAGAGACACATATAAAGATTTACCCTAAGCTGTTCACAACCTAGCTGGGAAAACAAGCATACAAACAACTGACTAACACAACTGAACACACGCTGTATAATAACAAGAGTTCATTCACTGAACCCTTAAAATGTTGCTGGGTGCTTTATGTGAATTAGACATTTAATCCCCAGAACAAGCCTGTGGGGAAGGGAATACCATCATCCCTATGGAATGTCTGAGGAAACTGCGGCTCATGGTTAAGATCCCTCCGCTGCTGAGGCCAGGCCGACTGACCACGAGTCTCTCAATCACTATGATTCTCTGAGCTCAGAAACTGACAGCATGTTTGGTAAAATGATCAGAGCCCATGCAAAACCAGGGGAGCAGGTCTGTGTAGGGTCCTGGGGAGCACCAGGAGAGGTCACACTAGAACAAGGGTTGACGTGGTTTTCACCCTCTTAAATTTTTAAACATACTATTGTGTACAGTATTGTTAATTCTGGGCACTCTGCTCAGAACAGATCTCTAGGACTTACTCCTCTTGCTTATTTGAAAGTATTGACTCTGAGCAACAACTCCCAATTCCTTCCCCCCCAGCCCCTGGTAAACACCATTCTGCTCTGTTTCTATGAATTTGACTAATTTAGTTTCCTGATATTCATGGGATCATGTAGTATTTGTTCTCCTGTGTCTGGCTTATTTACTTAACATAATGTCCTCAAGTTCATCCACGTTGTAGCAAATGGCAGGATTTCCTTCCTTTTTAAAGGCTGCATAACATTCCACAGTTTACACGCACGTGTGAGCGCGCATGTGTGTGTGTGTGTGTGTGTGTGTATACTACATATATTTTTTGTCCATTCATCTGTGGCTGAAAGTTTAGGTGTTTCCATGTTTTTGGTATAGCATTTTGTGAATGATGCTGCAATGAACAAGGGAGTGCAGATGTTCCTTTGAGATCCTGATTTCAATTCTTTTGGGTATATGCTCAGAAGTGGGATTGCTGGGTCATAGCAGTTCTATTTTTAATCTTAGAAAATCCTGTTTTCCACAGTGGCTGCACCATTCCACATTCCCACTGAATTCCCCGCATCCTCACTGCTTGTTTCCTGTTGGAGAACCAGGTTTTGAGGCTGAAAGAGAACTGCAGATTGAGTTTGTTATGAGGTCTGGGACCCATGTGAGTCTGATGGGGTCAGAGCTTAGACCAGACTGGGAAGGGCCTTGAATGTCACGTTAAGATGTGTGCATTTCTGTACGAAACTCAAAGATGTCTCAGCTGCAGAGGGCTGTGATGGCAACTTATTAGAAAGGGAACTGTAGTGGCAGCGTAGCACTTGCTCTTAGCAAGAGATCTCATTAGCCCACAGGACCCCGAGAACTCCCTGGGCTAAGAAGGGACTCCGCTGGGCGGAGGCAGGGTTATGCATGGATGTGGACAGTGCCTGTTTTGTTTGTCACCAGCATCTTCTTGGCCTTATTTAATCTGCAGTGAATCAGTTTTGGTTCTGTTTCCTCTGCCAGCGATTTGGATGGAGACCTTCAGACTCCGGCTCCATTTCGTACGGTCCCTGACACAGTCCTCTAAACGTTACGTAGGTCAGCCTTCCCAATCACACCGCAGAAAAGGAGCAGCTTCAAAGTGGTATGTATCTGAGGGTTCCCTATTTAAAGGGGGGTGCCCACTTCTTAAAGAGCTGTCCTCCCCTGAGTGTCTCCCCCTGAGAGGACCCCCAGGGGGTTATGATAACAGACAAGGTGGAGAGAGGAGAGCCCAGGAAGGAGGTTCTGATGGTGAATCTGTGACCAGAGGAGCGGTGGGAAGGAGCAGGGTGCCCAGGCCGGTTGGGGCTGTGAGCACTGGTGGAAATGTCAGCTAAGTGAGCACAGGCTGGGGGCGGGGCTGCTAGAACACTTTTCCATTCTCTTAGGGGCACTTAACTCTGCTCACTATCTTCTTTAGCTTTTGCCATTCTGTGTTTTCTTTTTGTTGTGGGAAAAAAATCACCATTTTTTCCAACTGTTGTTCCTTTCCTGAGAGGTGACTGTGTCACAAATAGCAGGGTTCTGATGCCCCGAAGAGCAGAAACAGCATTTCCAAACCTGAAAGCTGGTTGATGTGCCTCTAAAGACCCTGGGCTGAGACCCATTGCCTGGGGTGGGGGCAGCATTGCAATCAACACTCTTGGTTCTTCTGTCCTGATGGTTCCAACTCTTGGCCATGTGATACTAAGAATATCAAGAGTTTCTTATAAACCACAGTTGGTACACATGTGAGGTACTGGGTTAGCACTTTTGTGCATTATTTCATTAAGTCTCCTAACAACTCTCTGAGCTAGACAGGATTATCCCCATTGCACGGAAGGGGAAACTGAGGCTCAGAGACATTAAGGTTTTGCCAAAGAATAAATGTTTAGCCCTGGCTGGTTTGGCTCAGTGGATAGAACTGTGGACTGAAGGGTCCCAGGTTCGATTCCGGACAAGGGCACATACCCAGGTTGTGGGCTTGATCCCCAGTAGGGGGAGTGCAGGAGGCATTATTGATGTTTCTATCTCTCTCCTTCTCCCCTCCTCTCTGAAATCAATAAAAATATATTTTAAAAAGAATAAAAGTTTATATTTCATATAAAAAAGCAGAAAATGTTTTGTATTATTCTCAAGTTCTGTCTGAAAAAATGGACTGGATTATACTGTTTTCATATTTACTTGAATTTTTGGCATTCATAGTCAGGGACTCTTCATAGAAATGGCATAGGGAGCCTTTTTTGTTGTTGTTGCTGATCCTCCCCCAGGATGTTTTTTTCATTGATTTTTACAAAGAGAGGAAGGGAGGGAGGGAGGAGAGAGAAAGAGAGGGGGAGAGAGAAGAAGAGGGAGAGACAGTGACCTCGATGTGAGGCAGACACTTGGATTGGCTGTTTACCACACGTGCCCCTGACTGGGGCTGAGGATCAACTTGCAACCCAGGTACATGTCTTTGACCAGGAATCAATCCCAAGACCCTTTGGTGCCCTGACTGATGCTCTAACCACTTAGCAACACCATCCAGGTCTAGTGAGGCTTAAAAATAATTAATGGCTGTTAGAGACGGCTCTAAGACCATGTTTCATTGGTGACTGAGCCGACAATATGGTGTTCAGAAATGCCATGAACGGAGGTCAGAGTTCGCCAGCATCATTAAAGCACCAGCAAGTTCTGCAAGTGCTTGTCTGGAATAAAGATACAAACTTCTAAGAAATCTAACAAATGATCCTGAGGCTATCAATTCAGGGCATTTGAGCTTATTACACGTTAATTATGCTAATTGACTGGGCTGGTCTCATTCTGAAATCAAATATTAAAATATGATTTCGTGTAAGCAATTACTTTCTGCATGGAGATGTCTGGGCCCAGGCGTCACTTGGACAAAACCTGCTCTCAAGGATGCATATTTTAGAGATGCAGTACAATCACTACTGAAATGAAATTCTCAAGCTGTAATTAGTGCTTTAATGTCTGAGAATCATAGTGATGTGGGTTATAGAAAATAGCCCACTTCAGATACTGACATGATTCCTGGTGAAACCTGAAAACGAAATGCTCCTGACAATACTCTTAGGAGCACGCAGCAATTACATTTGCGATGCATTAGCATGCTTTCCACTCGTTCTTATTCAGCTGTTGGATAGCAAGTGACAGGCAGGAGTGCAGGGAAATGTAGACAGAAAAGGGCACCTGAACTAACGAGAAACTCGGGGAGAATAAAGCCATCTCTCGGCTCCGCAAGGACAGAACTGGGCTCCAGGCCTGGGACATGGATGAGCACATCCTCAGCAAACATTTAGATGCCGACTCCTCTGAAGACATTTCTCCTTTTCTTTTGAGATTATTTAAATTCTTCTGTATGTTCTTCTTGTGTAACCCATGTGCTACCATATGGG